TCTTCTTGTTCTGATGGAGTTTCAGAGAATGGTTTCTTTGGAATAGGTTTCAGAGAAACTTCTTCTGGTTTCGTTTCTTCTTGAACAGGTTTTTTGGGAATAGGTTTAAGCTTAACATCTTCTACAGGTTCAGTTTCAATAGGACGACGCTTGCCTGAAGGCCAAGTCTTTTCTTCAGGAACCTCTTCTTGAGGCTTTTGTTTCTTACCACGTTGCCATGGTGCCTTTTGAGGCTCTTCAGTGGCTTCAGAAGGCTTCTGTGGAAGATCCAATGTTTCTTCTTGTGGCTCTTGTTCTGACGTAGTTTCAGAGAATGGTTTCCTTGGAATAGGTTTCAGAGAAACTTCTTCTGGTTTTGTTTCTTCTTGAACAGGTTTTTTGGGAATAGGTTTAAGCTTAACATCTTCTACAGGTTCAGTTTGAATAGGACGACGCTTGCCTGAAGGCCATGTCTTTTCTTCAGGAACCTCTTCTAGAGGCTTTTCTTTTTTACCTCGTCGCCAAGGTAGAGTTTCCGCCACTTTACTAGTGTCATGTTCTTTAGTGTCTTCTTCGTTTGCTTTAGGCTGACGCCATGGTGTATATTTTGATCTATCCTGATCGTCTTTTTCTTCAATTTCTTCCTCTTTCTTCAGATGCAGAATATTTAAATCTTCTTGGTCACCATATTTTTCTTTGTAAATTCGTTTTCTCCTTTCAGCTTCTGTTTCATGATGCTCTTGAAGAGCTTGCATCAATGGAGAATCTTCAATGTCTTCTGCCTTCAGCAAATTTTCCTCTTCGAATGATTTGAATTGAGGTTTTAGGTTTACTTCATCAAGTTTAGGTTTCTCTATCAGACCTTTTTGAATTTTCGATGGCTTCAAATCTACTGTTTCTAGCTGCTCCTTTGGAATTTCTTTTAACTGACGGGGGGGTTTTTTCAATTGAATACTTTGTTCATTCCATGGTTTTATTCGATTTTGTCTCCAGGGTAATGTTTCATCACCAATCAAAAGAATGTCGGCATCTTGAACACTTTCTTTTGATGCCCCTGAACCAATAAATTGAGTATCAGATTGATTTTCAATTCTTTGTGATACGGTTGTATCAACTTCATCACCATAGTTTGAACTTTGCTTTCCAATCTTTTCTGCTGATATTCTTTTTGTTACTGTCTTGCGTTCTGTAAGAGATGGAAAGTAAATAGAACTCAATTTGTGTTTCAAATTTTAATCATTAATATCATTTTGGAAATTTCTAATATTAACATCCGAGAAGCATATCAAATAATAAATTATCCGCTTAGGAAAGGGAATTGAAAAAATTAATTAATTACAGGTTGTAGGTATTTACATTTCAAATTTAACATTTCAAGAATTTATCTCATAATAATTAGTATTACGAGAATTTCTTTAATATTTTTCTCCATGAAGGTGCGGACCGAAGCTCTGCTCTTAATTAATTTGTTTGAGTCATAAATATTTTCTATAAAAAATTTCAACATAAACAGAATTATCAAGGATGACTTTATAGGATTTAATAATTGACAGACTTATGTGTGGTTCATAACTTGTGGATTCTATTCAAATCAATGATTATTGATATGATTTCCTTTCCTGAATTGAATATTATTGTTCGTAGTTATCGACATAAAAATATCAACAGATAGTCCTGTTTTATTTTATTTTCGGTATTTCTGTTTCAAAGCTTCATAGTTTATGTAAAAGAGAAATACAGAACATGAAAAATATATAAACGAATTTGGTTTCATTTCAAGTACAGTAACGTTTTACTTTATAACTAATTTATAATACCAGTTACTGTCATAATCTGCTATTATTAAATCTTACAAAGATCATGTTGAAATCTGAATTAAATAAAACACAAAAGAAACTTGAAAAGTTTAAGAGAGAAGAAAAAAGATGATCAGAGAAGATATATCGAATTGATGAATCAGCTGGCAATTTTGCATTTGCGCATACGTTCGAAAAAGAAAACTCACATTTAATTAAAAATAGATTTGAAAATTAGTGTAAAAAGTGGTGGCAACGAAAGAGGTTCACAGTTTGTGATTGGTCAAAAGTTTTTGTAGTTTAATAATTTTCACACTTAGAATAACAAAGATAGTTTTATACATTTTAAAATGCATTTATTAAGATATTAAAGTTATATAAACATAAAGCTTGAAAATCACAAAAAATAATGGTAAGTATAAAATAATATAAAAGTTATATGAATGAATGAATTTGCCTTTGATCACAACATAAAAACGAAAAATGACAAAGGTGGACATAAAACATTTTACAGAACAAAGTAGTTTTTGTATAGAAAGCTAATAATCATTCGAAAGCTTTCAAAATTTTGGTTTACAGTTTAATTTTTTTTAAAGAAACTGTTTGTCTGTAAACTTTGTTAGTGAATAAAACACATCGTGTTGTTATTAAAGCAAATTCATGCATTCTGAATAATGTGGGTCTTAAGTTTTAATCAACTACAAATTTCTGATTTCTTTTCTAGTCGTTTTTTTCTTCTGTTCCTAAAATATATTTACTTAATTCTCTAGACTCTTCATGATTCAAGCGAGTTTATTTTCATTTTACTTTTACGAAGATCCAAGGAAAATGTAGCAAACAACCGTATTCCAATAATTGCTTGTGATTACTAAACTTATTTTAAGAATATGATAGATCTTCGAAATTTCTAGAAACATTGAAAAAAGTCTTCGTTTTTGCACCGATTTTTTAATTTTGTTTTTACTCATGGATATATGTAGGTAGTAACAGCATTTCCCAATTAAAACAATTTACACTCTTTCTTCAAAACTAAAACGAAAATTTGTTTCAAACCATACATTTTAATTGGCAAGAGTTTTTTTTATAAAATTTGTATTTTGAATAAAAGATCATTAAATCCTCTGCAAGTTTTTTTCTTTCATTATTCCACGCCCTGTTGCAGCTTAGTTATGATTCAAATTTTAATTTTGGATAATCTCGTTCACGTTTTTCTCTCATCACCTCGTTTTAAAATATATACACTGTGTGGCGCGTGTGAAAAATACCATTCCTGAGAAAAGGTGAGATTTCAATTTCAAAATTTATTCGAAAGGTGAGTATGATAATCTAAATTTAGATTTTGATGAAAAATTTTTAAGTTTTGTTTTGAAAAAATTCTTTCAGTGTAAAATGTTTCAGATCTATGATTTTAATGATCGTGATTTTAAAAATAGACTTTTCTATTGGCTGCATCACACCACCTCTTCTTAATAATGAAAAGCTATCTTTTGAATACATTAAAGTCTTGCTATATCGTTCATTCCTTAGGTTTCAATTTTGACAGGTTTCCTATTCAAATTTTAAAATCTGCAACGTTCTGTTTTAGGTTTTCTTTAACATTTACATTTTTAGGGGTTATTGCCTTTATAATTTGCATTTTTGCTTTTATTGCACTAAAATTTGAGTAGTTTTGTGTGTATATATATAAGTTTTTTATATTTATAAGTATTATTAATTAAAACATGAAAATACAGAAAACACATGTAAATAATGATAAATAAAATATTCCTTGAAATATTCAATTCAACATGAACACCTTTCATACAGAATATTTTAATTAATATTTGAAATTAAACTCGATTGAATACTCAAATTAGTTTTTGATTCGGTGTTTAGATAATTGAATATTATCTAGGTGTGTAAGAATTCAAGAGAAAATAATAATATAATTTTTGCAACATCAACATTAATTTCGTTTTGTAATAGATATTTAAGAAATGTAATTATTAAAAAGAAACGACTAGAAAATTGTCTTGCATTTTAGCAGAAATATTTAACAACTTTAGTTTTGTGTAACAATTCTAAATAATTGAAAAAGATTATTTGAGTGAAATTTGTTTCAAATTTTTACTGAATATCATGATGTAAAACTTAAATGTTAAGGAAAATAAAACTACAAAAAAAAACACATATCAAATAAACTGTGTCAACACAGTAAATGTTCATCTCTTAAGGACTGTTTATGGTCAATTCTTACTTTTGACGATCAATTTTGCAGAAGTTTCAACTTGTCCAACAGAGTTTGTGATGCGACATGTGAAAACACCTGAATCTTCTTCGTAAGTGTTAGTGATAAGTAGTGAGACAGTATTTCCTTCAGTTTTCATCTAGGTGTTTATAAAAAGAAAATTAATTAATAAAAGATGACATTTGAACAGTTAAAATGTAATTCTTACTTGGAAATCGGGAGATTCTGGAATCAACAATCCTTCACGTGTCCATTGAACCGAAATCTTAGATTTGCTAGTGTGTGTCGTTATGAACTTGGCTGGTTCACCTTCGTTAACGATAACATCCTTTAATTTTGTGATCTTAGGCAAAGCATCTTGAATTTCTGGAGCAACAACCGACAATGTGCTGCTTGTTGATGTTTCTCCTGCAGTATTCTTCAATACACATTTGTAAACACCTTCGTCTTCAGGAAAAGCTTCTGAGATTTTCAAGCTGTAATAGTCACGTTCCTTGTTCATTTGGAAGTATTTAGATGGCTTTATAATTTTATCGCCTTTGTACCATTGTGCAACAGGTACAGGTTTTCCAACAGCTTTCGTCTTGAAAACAACTGTTTGACCTTCAGAAGTTTTCTGATCTTTCAATGGTTCTGTGATGATTGGTTTCTTTTGAGCTCCAGGTGTTGTCGGCTTTTCAACTTTAGGTGAAGGTGGAACTTCAACACTGCATACTGCATCACAGCGCGCTTCACCACCAGAATTGATTGCAACACATTCGTATTTACCAGAATCTTCTTGATATGTTTCAATTATGAGAAGAGTGAAGACGTTGTCTTCTTCAAGAATCTTGTACTTAATGTTTGGTGCGATTTTCTTTCCATTCTTCAACCAATAAACATCCAAAGGCTTTGTTCCAGAAATTCTTGCATCGAATCGTGCAAGTTGACCAGCGATAACTGAAGTGTCTTGAATTGTAGTCAAGAATGAAGGTGGTATTGGCCCTCCAGTACGTCCCTTGCTTTTCTTTTCTTCAACAACCAGATTGGCACTGCATTTAGCAGTTCCACCACGATTTTCAATGACGACAGCAAAGACTGCTGAATCTTCTACGAACACTTGACGCATGATAAGAACAGATTTAGTTCCAAATGTATGAATTTGGAAGTCATTTGAATTGTTGATTTGGAAGTTCTCACGGAACCACTTGACCTTTGGCATCGGTTCACCATCAAATTCAACTTCAAAACGTGCTTGTTCGTTTTCAAAAACACGACATGGTTGAATTTTCTTTGTGAATACAGGTGGAACTGAAGGTTTAACGGGACCATCGACGACACGCTCTTGTGTTGTGCCTTTGTGCTCCATTTCAGTTGTTTCTGTTGCAGTGATTTTTCTAGTAATTTCTTTATCTCCAATTCTTTCTTTTTGAGTTTGTTTTTGTTTTGAAACGTGAATTTCTTTTCCATGAACAGTTGATTCAGAAGGATCTGGTAATATTCTTGCTCTTGGTGGCCCATCAACCTGTCCATTGACTTCATCAGATTGATCACTAAAAATTAATCATAAATAATTTATCCTAATAAATAATAATCTTAACGAATATTTCTCACATTTGTTTCTCGTATTGAGAAGCCATTCCTTTAGCTAATGAAGTTTTGCCAACAGCGTCTCCAGGAATTGCAAATTGGTGATTTTGTTCACGAGTGCGTTGTTCTTTAAGGAGTTGTTCATTCTCCAATTCTTGAAGTTTAGTGTAATAATCTTCATTCTTCTTGCTCTTGACGGTCTTCTGCCAATCAGGTTGATCTGGTTTAATGACCTTTGCCTTCAAATGCACAGCATTGAGATCAATACCACCATGTTCTTGCAAATGCTGATAACGGTCATCAAATGTTTTCTCTAAATCTGTTACATTTCGTTCCTTTTGATACGCAACAAGATCATAGTCATACCATGCTATGAACGAAACATAATTAGCAACATTTACGTACGATTTTCTAGTTAATTTTTATTTTAATTAATTTAATTCTTTTATTTAAATTTATTTATTTATTTTTTTTAATTTATCCTGCTGATATTAAAATTAATAAATATTAAAATTAAATAAGAAATCATGCTGTGGAGAAAAGCAATTTTTAAAATATAAAAGCATTGATTGCTTAACTCATTTTATGTACAAACCCCCACAAACTTTACCCTTTAGTTTCATGTCCAGAAAATTTAGCTCCTTATGCAGATATAAAAAGATTTGCAGCAAAAAAAGGAGGAAACTAGGATCGGGGACATATTGAGTAAAAAGTGTGTGTCTCAAATATTTTTATGAGATGAATGACTACAAGTTATGACTTATTTAGTGTCTTGACAAACCATTCATAGTAGTAGTAAATGTTTTACGTTTTAATCCAAAACTAATTTGTCACTTTATCAATTCATTCGATTAATGACAACTTCAGACTTTTGATTAAAATCGTAAAAAATTTGGTGTTAGTGAAAAGTCTTAAAATAAGTTTTGTATTTAAGTTGTTTGATTTAAGAATATCTATTATTGTTGTTGTCATGAATTGAATTGGGGAAAACTTACGTCGTGGTGAGTTCTTCAAAATTGCACGATAATCGTCCTTGCGAGAAACTACTTGAAGTTCAGTTGACGTGATTGCTTCACCAGCAGAGTTACGTGCAATGACTTCAATTTTTCCAGTGTCGTATTGTCGGCTTTTTGGGATATCAAAGTGATACATTCCGTCATAAGATAATTTATAACGTTGACCCTAAAATATGCAAAATAAATTATAAAAAATGGAAATAAATAAATAAAAATCACTAACATTAACAACAGTGTGACCATTAATAAGCCACATAACACGAGGTCTTGGATGTCCCGTAACACGACAGCAGAATCTCGCCCATTCACCTTCTTCGACTGTGACAGGGTCTGGAGAAAGAACGAAAGTTGGCTTCATCTTTTCCTTCTCTTTTTCAACCCTTTCTTCTGGCACACGATTCAGATAGGCTTCAATTTCTCGAATTTGTTTCAAGCTCTTCATTCCCTTTGGAAGTTGAGAGTCGTAGATAATTCCAGGCTTTCCAGTTGTCTTGATGAAAGCGCGTGTTTCGTCCATTCCATACAAGTTTGTTGCGCGACACAAATATTCGCCAGAATCTTCAGGATAAACCCACCCAAAGATCATCGCGACATAACCAAAATCATAAATTGGTGTGAAACGATTCTCTGCAAAGAAATAAAATTAAAATGGAATTCTTTTTTTTAATATAATCAATTCAATTACTAAATGGTAAAGGTTTGCCATTGAAGAACCATTCCACTCTCATGTTTGGATCACCAACAGGTGCCAATTGACATTCAAATTTAGTGTCTTGCATTTCAACCAATTTATCTTGAGTTTGAATTTGTGTAACAAATCGTGGTGGTTGCTTGCGATCGGGATCAAAGAGATCGTCTTCAGTAAGGAAAATTTCTGTTGTATACTTCTTAATTGTTGCTTCCATTTGCATAAATGTTTCAGATTTTTGCATTCCTTTTGGAACTTGGTTATGCAAAATAATGTTTGGTAATTCTGGAATAAAAAATTATATGAAAAACGTTCAGTTTTTATGGATCTCAATCATCACTTACTCTTGCATGTGACGAACGCCTTGGTTGTGTCTTCACCAAAGTCATTAACAGCACGACAAACATATTCTCCACTATCTTCAGCATACACGTAAAGAACGTCAAGGGAAATGAAGCCCATGTCGTAGAGTGTTCTAAATCTATGACCAGATGGCAATGGCTTTCCATTACGATACCATTCGATACGAAGTCTTGGATCTTCCTTTGGTTCAACGCGACATTCAAAACGAACTGGGTCAGATTCATCAACAGTAAGTGATTGAATATGTGTGATAAATTTAGGTGGTCCGAAAGTACGGTCATCTTTAGGTGCTTCTGCAACTGGTCCACGTTCTAATTCCTTCAACTTCTCTGCTGTCATTCCTTCGGGGAGTTGAGAATCTGTTACAATGTTAGTCTTTGATTTAACTGTAACTTTAGCAATGGTTGATGCTGATCCCCATTTATTAGTTGCACGACATTCATAAACACCAGAATCGCGGACATAAATGTAATCCATATCCAAAGCAATAAATCCGAAATCATTCAACATATGAACACGTGATCCAGTCGCAAATGGACGTCCATTGTGATACCAGTCGATTCTCAATGTTGGATCATTAACTGGTTCAACACGACAATCGAAGTGAAGTGGGCCACCTTCTGGGATGTCAACGTTATCTTTGATTTCAATTATGAAACGTGGTGGATTTGGTGTTTCATCATCAATAGAAATTTCTTCACGTTTATGAAGATTTTCTTCAAGTTTTTGAATTGCTTCAGTTCCAGTGCGGAAGCTTGAAGGCAATTGAGGTTCCATGATGATACCTTGACGTCCTTTAACAGCAAGTTTACACGACACAGATGCTTCGCCATGCTTATTTGTTGCTTTACAAGTGTACAAGCCACCGTCACGTTGATAACATCCCGCAATCTCCAAAATGACAAAACCGAAGTCGTTGATGGTTTTGATACGTGATCCGGACCATAAAGCTTTTCCGTTGTGATACCATTCAACTCTCATGCTAGGATCATTGATAGGAGTGAGACGACACTCAAAGTGTGCCAAAGAGTTTTCTCCAAGAACAAGATCAGTGGGAGATGTGATGAACTCTGGTGGTTTGCCAGAATCGTCTTCTGTTGTTGGTTGTCCTGGTGCTCCACCTAAGCCTTCTAATTCAGCTATCTTATCAATGGTGCCTTCCATTCCCTTTGGTAATTGTGAATCGTAAATGATGCTGCGTTTTCCTTGAACCTTCATTGAACATGTAGTGACTGCTTCACCATAGTCGTTTGTAGCACGACAAGAATATTCTCCAGAGTCTTCTGGATAAACTGGTGAAATTTCAAGAATAACAAATCCAAAGTCACAGAAAGTTCGGAAACGTGAGCCGGTCTTCAATGGTTTTCCATTCCAGAACCATTCTACTTTTAATTTTGGATCGTCGGTTGGTGTCAAGCGAGCTTCAAAGTGAGAACTTTCACCTTCACGTAAGCCGTCAACATTGGACAATGGTACTGTGAACACAGGAGCTTTGCCCCCTCTTTCAATCGATCGTTCATCACGATCGCGTATGTGCGAATCTTCTAAATTTTGAATCTTTTCCAATCCTCCTTCCATGCCCTAGAATAATAAAAGCGAAAATTAATTTAATCATTCCTTATAATATTATAAATTCTTACTCTTGGTAGTTGCGAGTCCAAAATAAGATTGGCTTTTGAGATGCAACGGAGCGTGGCTTTAGTTGAGTCACTGCCATATTTATTCGACGCTCTGCACTCAAATTCTCCTGAGTTCTCTTCATAACAGTACAAAATGTCCAAAATTACAATTCCAAAGTCGTGGAAAGTACGATAACGATGACCATGTGGAAGCTTTTTGCCATTCCAGTACCACTCAACATGTAAATCTGGATCGTTGACAGGTGTAAGACGAGCTTCAAAATGAGCGCTTTGACCTTCAACAAGCTTATCAAGACTTGTGATTTGTTTAGTGAATTTAGGAGGTTCGCCAGTTGGACTTGATGGGGCTTGTGGACCTCCTTGACCTAAACTTTCAAGCTCACGAATACGAGCCAATGATTCAGGTTGAAGAGTGTCAAAGAACACTCCACTCTTTCCGAAGCATTGAATGGTAGCTCTCGTGTAATCTTCACCATATTTATTAGTAGCTTTGCAAATATATTCTCCAGAGTCATGACTTTGAACGTAAGCGATGTCAAGAAGCACATAACCGAAATCTGAAACTGGTTTGATGCGAGTTGAATGACGCATTGGTGTTCCATTATGGAACCATTCAACCTTCATGTCAGGATCTCCAACAGGTTCTAAAGTACACTCAAAGTGAGCTGATTGACCGTCTTTGAGTCCGGCAAGATTTTGAATTTGTGTGGTGAATTTGGGTGGTTGACCAGCTGATTTGTCAACGCATCCTAAATCAACACTGAGTTCTGCTTGTCCATATTTATTAGTAGCACGACATGTGTAAGTACCAGAATCGGCAATCTTAGTTCCTAAAATCTCAAGGATAACAATGCCGAATGCATAAACAGTGCGAATTCTATGACTAGCTTCGATTTGTTTCCCATTGAAGAACCATTCGATGACCATACTTTGATCTCCAGTTGGCACAAGAGTTGCTTCAAAGTGAGCGACGCTTCCTTCGACGATATTGCTGATGGGTGTGAATTCTGATGTGAATCTTGGTGCCATGCCATCTTCTGGTTCCATTGCACCACTTGGTGATTTCTTCAATGAATCTTCCAAGTCTTGAATGGCTTCCAAGCCTTCAGTTCCTTTAGGATGTTGAGTTCTTTCGATAAGACCTTCCTTGGTTGAACAATAAACAGTACAAGTTGTGAAAGCTTCTCCTTTCTTGTTGAAAGCTTTGCATGTGTAAATTCCTTGATCGCGGTCGTACATGTCAGTACAATCGAAAGTAACAAAACCAAAATCTTTCGCGAATTTAAATCTTGAACCATGTGGGAGAAGTTTTCCATTGAAATACCATTCGAGCTTAAGATTTGGATCTTCTTTGGGTTCTACTTGACCCTCCAAATGAAGTGGTTGAGCTTCTCCAAGTCGCTTTTCTGGTTCAACTGAGACAATCCAAACAGGTGGTCCATAATCCTTCTCAGCATCAGTCACTGGGCGTTTGTTTTTCTCAGCGATTTGTCTCTCAGTTCCTTCAACTGCTTCCAATCCAGCTTTGCCTTGTGGATGTTGTGTATCCAAGAACATTGTAGCACCACCTGTGCATTTAAGTGAACCTGAAGTTGATGCGCTGCCTTTGTTGTTTGTTGCTTTGCATGTGATAATTCCAGAATCTTCAGGATAAGCACCAATAATGTCCAAAGAAACATACCCAAAGTCATATGCTGTCTTATAACGTGCAGCAGCTGGTAAAGGTTTTCCATTAACAAACCATTCAATTTTCATTGTTGGATCTTTCGATGGTTCAACATTACATTCGAAGTGTGCGTTGTCATTTTCGCGACATTCAACATTGTTAAGATGTGTGATGAAAACGGGAGATTCAAAGACTGGTTCTTCAGTTCCAATCTTTCCCATTCGTGGTGCTTCCAAATCAGAAATTCGTGACATTGCTTCGGGATGTAAAGTTTCACCCAACAACCAATGTCTGTCTTCAACTTTAAGTGTGCATGTTGAAACAGCTTCTCCAACGAGATTTGTTGCTTTGCATGTGTAAATAGCAGAATCGTCTGAACGTAATGAATTGATTGACATTCCAACCAAACCAAAATCGAAAGTACTCTTGATACGAGCACCAGTTGTAAGTGGCACACCATTTTTGAACCATTCAATTCGCAAGTTTGGATCAGCTTTAGGTTCGACAGTTGCTTCGAGGAAAATGTGTTGACCCTCGCTAAGTTTATCGTGACTTTGCAAATTTTGAATAAAGACTGGAGCTTGTTGAGCTGCTGCTTCTGGGAAAGGTTCGGGTGCACGATTTAATGCAGCTTCCTTCAATTGAATCTTCTCCCATGATTCCGGCAATAAACTGTCACCAATGATTGATGCTCTTGATCGAACTTTCATTGAAATGGAAGACACAGCTTCGCCAGAGTTATTGATAGCTTTGCAAGTGTAAACACCAGCATCTTCTGGCACGGCACCAGTGATGTCCAATGTGACAAATCCAAAATCGTGAGTGGTTTTAATTCGAGTTCCAAGTTTAAGTGGTTGACCATTGACAGACCATTCAAAACGCAATGAAGGATCGCCAACGGGTACAACACGTGCTTCGAAATGTGCTGCTTGTCCCTCCCAAATTTCTGTAGGTCCAGTAAGTAATTGAGTAAAGATGGGCTTCTCGAAAGTCTTGTCAGGTTCATCGGGACGAGCTGAGAGTGGCTGTTCAAGTTTCATGATCTTCTTCATTCCTTCAGGATGGTTAGTGTCAAATATGATTCCAGATTTTGAGTTGATCTTCATCGAAGCTGTTGTGACTGCTTCACCAAGTGGATTGGTAGCACGGCACATGTAGACACCTTCATCATCATCTCTAACATGTGCAATATCCATAGAAACGTAGCCAAAGTCGTGTTGTGTTGTGATACGAGAACTATCTTCTAAAGGCTTCTCATTACGGAACCATTCAATCTTCAATGTTGGATCACCGACTGGGATAACACGACATTCAAAGTGAGCGTTCTTTCCTTCTGGAACTGAATCGATATTTTGTAATGGTTGAGTGAAGACAGGTCGTTGTTTGGTGGCTGGTTCAACAGCTTCTGGTCGTTTCCATGGAGTTGCTGATTCCAATTCTTTGATCTTACCCAAACCTTCGGGTCTTTGTGACTCGTAAATTATGCTTCCCTTAGCGTTAACTTTGAAAGCGACGGCTGACTTGCATTGACCAAGAGCATTAACAGCTTTGACGAGATATTCGCCCGCATCTTCTGGGATAACATGTTGAATATCCAATGAAACATATCCAAAGTCGAATGTTGTATGGAAGCGAGTAGCAGATTGCAATGGCTTTCCATTATGATAAAATTCAATGCGAAGATTTGGATCGTGAATTGGTTCAACTTGACCTTCGAAGTGAGCTGTAAGACCTTCGTTAAGTTCCGATGTTCCATGCATTTCTGTAACAAATCGTGGTGGTGACACTGGTTGATCTTCAACTTCAATTCTTGAATGACGACTTTGTGCTTCAAGTTTCTGAATCTTTTCCAAGCCATCTGGATGTTGAGAATCTAAAATGATGCTGCGACGATTGACAACTTTAATTTCGCATGTGCTGACAGCTTCGCCAAGTTTATTCGAAGCACGACACATGTAAGTTCCAGTGTCTTCACCGTAAACATATAAAACATCCAAAGCAACATAGCCAAAGTCATGAGTTGTTCTAAAGCGATGACCAGCACGAATTGCCTTTCCATTCATGAACCATTCAATCTTCAAGTTTGGATCATTGATGGGTTCAACACGACATTCTAAATGTGCATAATCGCCTTCTTTCAAGTTCTCGAGACTAGTCAATGGTGTCAAGAAGATTGGCTTTTGACCTGCAGTTTCTTCTTCAATTGTTTGTGGTCGTTGATAGCTTTCAAGTTCCTTAATCTTCTTAAGACGATCTTCGTCCAATGTTTCAAGGTATAAAATTTTATTCGCTAGAAAAGAAAGATTTTTAAGAATCAAAGTTCAAAGTTTAATTTTATAATTAATTTTACCTGTGACTTTTACAGCACAAGTTGTAACAGCTTCTCCTGCAGCGTTCTTTGCTTTGCACATATAAGTTCCAGTATCTTCAGCATGTGCATCAGTAATATCCAAGGCAACAAATCCAAAGTCATAAGTTGTTCTAAAGCGAGAACCAACTGGGATTGGACGTCCATTGCAGAACCAATCAACTTTCATTGTTGGATCATTAACTGGAATCAGTGTCGCTTCAAGATGGATTGGAACACCTTCAATAACGTTTGCATTTCTCAAAGGTCGTCCAAATTGTGGTTTTTCAGCAACAAACTGATCATCATCAGGACGACGTTGATAACGTGAAGCATCTTCCAGATATTGGATCTTCTCTAAAGCACCTTCATGTTGAGTTTCACTAACGATGCCAGCACGAGACGAGACTGTCATTTTAACAGCCGATTGTGCTTTTCCAAGACGGTTTGTTGCACGACATGTATATTCACCAGTGTCAGCTGGATAAACAGTCAAAATATCCAAAGCAGCGAATCCAAAATCGTTAGCGGTACGGAAGCGATGGCCGGTTTGCAATGGTTTTCCATTGTGCAACCATTCAACTTTGAGATGTGGATCGGGATATGGTTCAATACGACATTCAAAGTGAGCTGACTGCCCTTCTTTTAAGTTACTTGGTCCCATCAAATTGACAGTGAATCGTGGTGGTTGAGTAACGACGACGTCTTCATCTTCACGACGTTGGTAACGTGTATGATCTTCAAGTTGGTTAATCTTCTCCAAAGCTCCTTCATTTTGTGTTTGCAAATCTAAAGCTGCTTTCGCTGTTATTTGATTAAAACAAATTAGAAATTGAATTTATGGAAGATGAAATGAAATCTTACATTGAACAATTAATGATGCTGATGTAACAGCTTGTCCCAACTCGTTGATAGCACGGCATGTGTAAGTGCCAGAATCTTCTGGATTTGCATATTTCATGTTCAATGCAACATATCCAAAATCATGCATTGTTGATATGCGATTAGCTGAAATTTAAAAAGAACAAAATTTTAAAGATTGAAAATTAATTGAAGAGTAAGTTCAACTAACAAGCTTCAATAGGAATTCCATTTCGAAGCCATTGAACAATAAGTTTTGGATCGCCAACAGGGATGAGACGTGCTTCGAAATGAACAGGTTGTCCTTCATTAATCTTCACGTCACGAACAGGCATAGTGAAGACAGGAGCTTGTGTGATGATATCGTCTTGAGTAGCTTCACGTTGGTAACGCGATGTGTCTTCTAACATTCTTAAGCTTTGAAGGGCAGACTCATGTTGTGTATCCAATACAATTGCTTTCTTGGAGTGAACAAGATTAGAAGCTGAAGTAATTGCTTCACCCAATTGATTAACTGCACGACATGTATAAGTTCCAGAATCTTCTGGCATGCACGACATAATGTCAAGTGCAACAAATCCAAAGTTATTTGTTTCTGTGAATCTTGAACCTGATTTAATTGGTTCATTGTTATGGAACCATTCGACTCTTAAGTGTGGATCTGAAACTGGAATCAAACGACATTCAAAATGTGCACGTTGACCTTCACGAATTTCAATATTCTTCAATGATGTTGTAAAGATTGGAGCTTGTTTTGAGACTTCTTCGATCTCTTCTTGACGTTGATAACGAGACTTGTCTTCCAAATATTGAATTTGTTCCAAACCAACTTCATTTTGTGTCGTTGTAAGAATTTGTGCACCTCCTTTACAGACAAGATTGCAGCTAATTTCGTCAGATCCAATCATGTTAACAGCGCGACAAGTGTAAGTTGCTGTATCTTCTGCAATTAAATCAACAATATCTAAGGCGACATATCCAAAGTCATGAATTGGACGGAAACGATGACCGATAGTAACTGGGCGACCATTTTTAAACCATTCGACTTTAAGATTAGGATCAGTGACAGGTTCTAATTTACATTCGAAATGAGCATGAGCACCTTCTCTCATCTTTTCCAAATTCTTAGGTTTTGTAAGGAAGCGAGGTTTGATGTTGACAACCTCATCTTCAAATTCATTACGTTGATATCTTGTCGTGTCTTCCAAATATTGAATCTTTTCCAATCCTGCAGGGTATTGTGAATCTAAAATCAAATCCTTCTTGGCGATGATTCTTACTGAACATGAAGTGACAGCTTCGCCAAGTTGATTACGAGCTTGACATGTGTAAACACCCGAATCAGTAGCATAAACACCGAGAAGATCTAAAGCAACATAATCAAATTCATGAGCTGGTCGGAAACGATGACCAGTCTTGATTGGAACGCCATTAACAAACCAATCAACTCTCATGAAGGGATCACTGACAGGTTGAAGACGACATTCAAGATGAACATTTGTTCCTTCAACTGATTCAATGTTATGCAATGGACGAGTGAATGTCGGTGCTTGAGCAATGGTGACATCTTCCGATGTGCCACGACGATAACGTGACGCATCTTCTAAATATTGAATTTGTTCCAAGGACATTTCATTTTGTGTGTCAGTAACGACGTCACGTTCTCCAATAACACGAACACATGCTGAAGTGTGTGCAGATCCAAGTTGGTTTGTAGCACGTACAGTGTATTCACCAATATCCATCAATGATGCATGAATAATGTCAAGGGCGACGAATCCAAAGTCATAATATGTTCGGATACGTGAACCGACGGTAATGGGACGACCATTTTGGAACCATTCAACTTTCATTGTTGGATCATTGATTGGTTCCAGTTTACATTCGAGATGAATATTTCTTCCTTCATTTACTGGTTGTGGATCCGATAACGGAGTTGTAAAATAAGGTTTCGAACGACAAATTTCTTCGATATTATATTGTGGCTCGACAAATTTCGAATCCTCCATTCGTTGAGTTTTTTCGTATGTTCCGCGATGCAAAGTCGATGTGTCAATGCTTGAACGAGCTAATTTAACAAAATAAAAATAATTTGTTTAATGATTGAAAGATTAAAAAAAATATTCCAGGGAAAGTTCATGCAAAGCAATTTATTTGTTATTTAGAATTGATTAAAGCGGAACAACGTTTTTGATTTAATTTATCTTAATTTCCACTTTCAAGTGTTAAAAGTTTTATTGTTTGGTTTTAATAAAAGCTACTCATCCTTACTTTCCACCAACATTGTGGCGCTAACTTGAGCTTCTCCCAAATTATTTCGTGCAACGACGGTATAAGTGCCAGCATCTTCGCCACGAACTCCCAAAATATCCAAAGCAACATAACCGAAATCTTGATAAGTTTGAATGCGATTGGCCGACATAATTGGTTGGCCATTGTGATACCATTCAATTTGCATTGAGAGATCACTTTGTGGTTCAACTCTCACTTCAAAGTGAGCTCGCTGTCCCTCAATGATCTTTGTGGTTCCTTTTAATGGACCCAAAAACCGTGGTTTGATATTCATCAAGATTTCTTCTTGTTCGCGTTGCTTCTCGTGTCTAATCGTTCTCGAATAACGTGTCGAATCTTCCAATTGTTGAATCTTCTCCAAACCCAGCTGATTCTGAGATTCGATAATAATATCTTGCTTCGTAATGACAGTTAAACGAGCTTGAGTTGTAGCTTCTCCAACAGCATTAACAGCACGACAAGTGTAAGTTCCAACATCATGAACAGTGACTTGTTTGATTGTCAAAGCGACGTAACCAAAGTTGAAGAACGATGTGATTCTTGAACTAGCTTCAACCAACTTTCCATCTTTATACCATTCAACTCTCAATGTTGAATCACCGATAGGTTCCAAACGTGCTTCAAAATGAGCGAAACCTCCTTCACGAATATTAATTTGATCTTTAATTGGACTCTTAAATTCAGGACGAACAGTCGATTCGGGTTGTTCTTCAACAAATTTCATGTTTTGATATTGTTGATAAGCTTCTAATTGTTGACATTGCTCGATGTGACGTCTTTGTTCATCAATTCCTAAATCTCCAGTGACAGTTTCTCTTGTAATGATTCGAATAGTTGAAGTACTGATGGCTTCGCCCATACGATTAACAGCTCTAACTGTATAAGAACCAGCGTCTTCAGCCCGTAGATGCATGATGTTAAGGGAGACATATCCGAAGTTGAAGATTGCTGTGATTCTCGAGCTAGCAGTAATCGCACGACCATCTTTGTACCATTCAACACGCATTGTTGGATCACTGACTGGAGTAAGTTGTGCTTCAAAATGTGCATTTTTGCCTTCTTCCAATTCACCCAAGTCTTGCAATGGACGAATAAAGTGAGGCTTCTGATTGACGGATTCTTCAATACTCTCACTTCGTTGATATTTTGAATAATCTTCCAAATTTTGAATATATTCTAAACTGGAAGGATGTTGAGTTGATTTTTCAATCGCTGGTTTTTGTGTAACACGTAAAATTGCTCTTGACTCAGCGACACCTGTTGAGCTTGTCACACGACAAATGTATTCTCCACTATCTTCAATAATTATGCTAATCAAATCCAAAGCAATAAATCCAAATTGGAAAGTGCTATTTGCACGTGAACCTTGAATGCAAAATTAATTTAGTAATTATCTTAAACAATTTTTTGAATAAAGTTTAACTTACTTGCATGAATCATGTTGCCATTCAAGAACCATTCAACACGCATTGTTGGATCACCGACAGGTTCAATACGAGCTTCGAAATGAACTTTTCCGCCTTCAACTTGAGTGACATCTCGTAATGGGATGATAAATTGCGGGGGTGGATAAACACGATCTTCTTCCATTGGAGCTAAGTGAGGCTTAGCACGTTCAACGTGTCTCAAATAAATAATTTCGGGTTCTAATGGAGGTCTGTAAGATTAATTTTAATTTTAATTAAATATTTAATTTGAAAAATAATAAAAAATTTTACTCTGGTTCAATGACACGAGTTGGTTTAGGGAAATTGATGCGACGTTGTTCAGCAACTTCTTGCTTAGATGTTTGAACGAAAAGTCTAGCACGTGTAGCAGTGGAACCAGCAACGTTCTGAGCAGTGCACTGATACCAACCAGCGTCACTTGCCATTGCTTGTGGGATATCTAAAGCGGTAGCTCCACCATCAACTCCAATGTACATGTTGTCATTGGGAATTACTTGAGCTCCATCTTTTTGCCAAGTAATTCTTGGTACTGGAGTACCAACAGCACGAGCAGACAAACGAACAGGTTCACCTTCACGAACATTAACAGTTGTGAAGCGTTCAACGAATTTAGGGGCGACAACTTGTTCTTTTTCAAGAACTGTCAAACCGGCTTGAGTTGAAACTTCGCCAGATTTATTTCGAGCTACACAAGTAACAATGCCACCATCATAGCGGCTAACATTTGTGATCATCAATGAATGACTTCCAGATTCATTGACTAGAATTTTATGAGTAGCATCATCATTAACAGGAACCTGATTGATGTACCATGTAACGTCGGGATATGGACGGCCAGTGACACGACAATCAAATCGTGTCATTTTTCCTTCTTGAGTTTCACGATCTTGATAAACTTTAACAAATGTTGGTGCTAAAGCTTTAGCAGTTTCATTTGATTCAGCATAAGGATCAACAGCTGGTGTAAAAGCACGAACTTCTTGTGCAGGTTCAATTGCCAAGACAGCTGATGATACAACACAACCTTGCGTATTTTCAGCTAGTAATGTATAATGACCAGAATCAGAAGTGGAAGCATTCTTAACGCGAAGAGTAGCTTGATTATTAGAGTAAGTCATTTCATGCTTCGCTTCAGATGGAACAATTCGGTGGCCATTATGGAACCAACTCATACGTGGTTTAGGATTAGCTGAAACCTTCATTGAGAAGACAGCATCTGATCCTTCAATCAATTTAGAATTTCTTGGCTTCACTTGGATCAATGGTGGTGCCACTGGTCCAAGGGTTCTATCAACAACATTTGATAATTGAGAATCAGTTTCTCCAGCATAACGTTGAGTGATTTGTTCACGGAATTGAACTTCACGTAACAATCTATATTCAAAAGTATCAACTTTGAATTCTTCTTCAACAGAACTGAAAGTATATCCATTAGATTGAGTCTTAGATGATGACTGTTGAAGCAAACGTTGCTGTTGTTGCTGTTGAATTTGTTGTTGAGTTGATTGGGTGAATTCTTTTTTAGTTTGCTGAAATTGTGGCGGCGCAAAGCCTTCAGGTTGAATGAAGACAGAACAAATTGCTTCGCCAACTGCGTTACGGGCACGGCAGGTATATTCACCTTCATCTCCAGGCCCGATATGATTAATCAACAAAGTCACTTCACCAGTAGTTTGGTTGTAACTCATACGATATTTACTTGAATCGAAAAGCGGGGAACCTTTACGTGTCCATGACACTTCCGGCATTGGCGTTCCCTTAAGCCTTCCTTCAAATAAAGCATTTCCACCTTGAGCAAATCTCGCATTCTTAAAGATTTGTTCGAAAATCGGTGGAGAATAATTTGATGTTGGAGTTGACGGTGGCTGTTGAATATATTGAACAGAAGCTGTTGTTTGGCTGGGTGTTGTTGGACCCGCTATTTGCTGTTGAACGAAGCCACCATGTTGAACTAAATTCAACAAGAGATAAGGACAAATGTCATTTTCATAAAATAAAAAGAAAAAAATTTAAAAAATTAAGTTCTGACTCAACGTCAAAGAAGTAAATAGAAAAATCTTTTTTCATTTTAGTGCGTTGGAGATATTATGTGGGTGAAATATATTTTCATTTTTTGATTGTGTGCGTTTATTACTTTTGGCACTGCTTCAAAAATTTTCTCATTTATTTTTACACTTTTCTAAGTATTATGAACATGATAGATGCATAGCGCACTAGTGATGGAATTTTCTTTATTTGATCGCATGCCTCATTGTTTCGTCAAGTTTTCCATAAATAAAAATCGTGTTTCAATCATTTTTCCATTAATTATACTCATGATTTCATTGGAAAAAAATGATAGGACGGAAGGTTGATTTTTCACTTGGTTCTCACAGCTGCAGCGGTTAATTTTTTTTTCATAGATTTTTTTCATAGATTTTCATTTTCTCTTTTTTCATTCTTTTTTCTTTAAAATATTTTTTTGCGAGTTCACAGTTTCACATTTGATTGACCTCTTCGCTTAAAAATTGACTTTTAATCCAGGTTCAAAGGCAATTTTATCGCTTTTCAAGGTGCAATATCTTTTTCTTGTGTAGATTTTGGTCACTGAGATTTTTATCACATAATTTTCTTTTAATCCACTCCTTGAAATGTAGGTTTTAAAACCAAAATTATCCAGAATTTCTCTAGATTCTAGAGCCGTTAAACTAACCTCTTTGCTGGGTTTGTTGAGTTACTTGTCTCGTAGAATAGGATTGTTCAATTCTTTGCTGGGATGAGAATTGTTGTTGTTGTGATTGTTGAACAACTTCCTGCGATGAGGAAAATTGTTTCGAAACTTGTTGCTGATTGCGAGACATTTCTATTCGCAATTATTTTCGTTTTTATTTTAATCCCATAAGACGAAATTCAATCCAAAGTTTTTATATTTCGTAAGAATTCTTTCGAATATTAAAAAAATAATAACAAGTAGAAACTTTGTGTGTTATATAATAATTAATTTGAAAATAAAAAAAACCACACGGTTAAGATTTTATTATTTCGGATATTTCTATTTTTCTTTTATCTCTTCTCTTCTTATTTTTTTTTTTCGAAAAATCGGAAAGTTTTTCTTCACTTTGTGTGTGGATTATATAACTTTTCTCCTTTTAAATTGAATTATTTTTTATTTCAATTTATCACCAAATTTGATATCACTGATTTTTCGATTGATATTTTAAACCTCAGTTCACTTCTCGCCGATAATATTATTTATATAGAAATAATTTCTATTAATAGCACTACTTCGACAGCAAATTAATTTTTTTTTTAATTTTTCGGGAGTAAAATCTATTTGCTGCCTCTCTGCACGGTTTTTGGTATAAAATGAGCTGCAATAAGGCGAGACAGTTTTCGGGATTTAATGTTGAGCGAGCGAAGAGTGGCACTAAACTGACGGGAAAACTGCGATCGGCGATCGAGGCGAGTGCGTTATTTGCGAAATGTGGGCTTCGGCTTTGTCGGCGCCCAAAAATAGTTCAACGAAGGCTAATTTTAGAATATTTTCTTTCACAGTTTTTCACGATCGGAGGAAAGATTATGTCAGAGACGTTGTATGAATCTAGACTTTAATTAAGAGATTGGAACATGTATTTGATGGTGCGCCTATGATTTTTGCAAAGATCGCGACGATCGAAAATGCGATGAAAATATTCTATCGGAATTTTTCACACACGACACTTTTTTTTTGCTTTTTTCAAATTTTCGTGAAGACATAATCTAAAATTAAATAACCTTATCATCCGGAATCCGAATCTATAAGATGTTTTCTCGACTTTTCATGATTTTCATGTTTCGAAACGATTGAAATTTCCTTTGCTGTTCAAAAAGACGTGAAAATTTTCACACACACATACAACGGAACAGGTTTTTCGAGAAATTTTCCATCGAACCGAAGCATTGTGAAAATTGTGTGGGTCGCTAAAAATTCAGAAAGTTTCTTCCTAAATATCGAGCATGCATTTCATAATGAAAAACTCGTGCTACGAATATCGAAAGCAACGTTAAATTGCTTGTTCTTTTATTTTTCCGCAAGTAGGTATTACTTTCTAATCTTAACATTACATTAAAAATTGTTTTAATTAATCATGTACTTCAATTTTATATTTATTAAGCTTGTGCAATAAGTAAAATATTTGCAAATGATTTGTGCAGAAAATATTTATTTAAATGTTTCATTTCAATTCAACTCTAACCATCCAAATCAAAATCATTAGTAAATATGAAATCGTATTTTAATTATATTATGTTAATTTCTTTATTCTTTCTTATAGCTTATGTAAATGTAGCATACAAATTTTTTAAATAATTTTTTTTGTTACATTTTAGGCATGGAGATAATCAAAATATTTACATCACATCTTATGTATTACTGACT